CTTAGCGTACTGAGAGTACTTACCGGCTAGCCTTAGCGTACTGAGAGTACTTACCGGCTAGCCTTAGCGTACTGAGAGTACTTACCGGCTAGCCTTAGCCGATTGAGAGTACTTACCGGCTAGCCTGTACTTGCTTGGTGCATGGTATGAAACTTGTGAACTGTTTCTGGAATTCTTAAACTTCTCTTTCAGACTGAGGTAAACCACAGATAATGGAGACCACAGTTACTGAAACCGTGGATACAGAAGTCCCACTGTGAAAACTAGCCGATTTCATTCCTCATTGATGCAATCAGTTAATTCTGATCATTATCACAAACCATTATGACAGATTTCTTAAAATATTTTGATGTACACAGTAATCTTTCACACTGTTTTTAGTTAGAATCTTTTGCATGTTTGTGCGCTGCTACACGTCTATGTGTGTAGTAATTAGTAGCCTACACATTCTGCACGTGTGTAGGCATGTTACTATACTGATAACGTGCCTTTTAAATAACAGTGAAATACTGCGCCATTGACTTCAGGCCAGCTTTTTGTTGATCAACAGCACACTCACTTTGCACTTCCTAAAGATAGCGATGCACCGGACTCAACCTCGTTTTAAGACCGACACGCCCACAGACGCTCAGATGGGGGCAAGAACATTTGCTATTTAAATAATGTGGGCACCGGACAGGAAATGACAGCTGCACTGGGCTCATGCTTGCAGACACTTGCGTCGAGCCTGGTGCCGCGTTATGCAGGGTGTAAAATAGGACCCCCTTTAACTGCACTGAGAAATCTGTGCTCACTGCCGCACTGCACTGTGCACCCTGCTGAGCAGTAATGGGGAGACTGTATGCAGTGCTGGTTTTATGCAGTTTCTTATTCTCCTCATATACAAACCAAGTCTCCAGCAGGAAATTGTGAAAACAAAGTAGCACAAAAATATCACAGCGCCTCTCCTAAGGCTTGAATATATCATCTTTTGGTTACCAGGGTTACCAGACACAGGCCTTAAACACAAGGCTAATATAAAGCATATGAAGTATTTTATAAATACCGATTTCACCACACTTGTGAACCCCACCCTCAACCCACAATGCAAAGTGAAATCCACTCATTGTGACCCAGCAGCAGTCGAGGCTCAGCTCACCTAAGGTAGACTTGCGGAGCTGATAAGCTTCAAATGCGTCCCGCAGCTCCCGGTATCGTTTGGTGAGCTCATTCTTCTGCTGGTCCAGTGTGGGCTGAAGTTGAAGATTCTGTTCAGCCAGAGTCCGGTTGTTGGCCAGGGTTACCTCCTTCACCTGCTGCACCTGCTGCACCTGAAGCGGGGAGACCCAGAGCCGGGACGGGGTTAACCAGGAGACCGACGCCTGCACGAGGCGCAAACCAACACAGAATCAGCACACGGCCCAAATAATACACACAAAAATAACACCTTAAATAAATAAAAGCTTTGCTATACGCATATTACCATCTAGTAATGGTGGAGACTACAGACAGACTGGTTTTATGCTACATTTCATCAGCGTCTTATACAGATGGTTTCACTCCTTATTGGTTCTAATATCTCACATTATAAAAATCTCAATAACGTACAAGTCGCTTCAAGATAGAAGGGCATTAAATATTCATTTGTTTTTTTTCATTTGATAACAAACAAGACAGAAAAGTTAGTATTTCTCAAAGTGTGAGGGAAGAGGGGAAAATCAACAATAAAGCTGAAGTCTGACCCTGGGGACTAACGTGAATCAATATGACACAGGCAGTTTAGGGGGTTTGGGATATAAAGTAGGGGTGAAACAACATAGGAGGGCGACCAGGAACGCTGGATACCACAGGAAAAGGTCAAACCTCCGATAAACACACAGCAAGAAGAACGATGCAGGACAGGAGGAGCAAAAACTTGAAAAGGCAGTCAAACTGCAGCCAAACACGCCTTGTTACGTGCTGAGAGATGGAGGAGGCGTCTTACAGCACCTTAATCACAACAAAAACGCCTTGTTACGTGCTGAGAGATGGAGGAGGCGTCTTACAGCACCTTAATCACAACAAAAACGCCTTGTTACGTGCTGAGAGATGGAGGAGGCGTCTTACAGCACCTTAATCACAACAAAAACGCCTTGTTACGTGCTGAGAGATGGAGGAGGCGTCTTACAGCACC